AATCCAGACGGCATAGTAGGCGCTGCCCTTTTGTCGTGCCGTTTAAATTATTATTGTAGGGGATATTGTAATCATCAGAACGATAGATTCAGTGCTTTATTCAGCGTTAATGTCCAGGTAATATAGTTTACCAGCGATTTTCCATCTTTGTAGTCAAGAAGCATTCCAAGTAAGGCAACGAAGTAACGGTAACCTTGCTGTGGACCCGAAAGCTGTCAGACTGATAGGAGGAGAAGGCTGATCGAATTTCTGCGGAGAAGTGCGCTAATATGAAAATACGGCTTATACTGTTTCCCGTGGAAAGGTTTGTTTCACGCACGCAACTGTGAGCAGGAGACTTCATGGTCTTTCGTCAAATCTCTCTTTATTTAAGCAGGCATCAACTAACCGAGGAAAACCATTGCTTGAGAAAAGTAAGAGGACGAAAATATAAGAATACTGTTCAACATTTATTAGTGCTATCATACGCTTTCCCAAGAACATGTAGAATGATGCGCTGTATGTCCGAAATGGTGATTTCTTGGTTCATTGAAGTTTCCCTTAGTGATCCCCAACAAATGGTTAGCCGGTTCAAAACCGATGTGAATTATTGATTTCTAGTAAATTATTCAGGGACTGGGCATTCTTTAATGCTATTTTGTTATGAAAGGTTGCAATTTTTTGCTGACAAATGAGATACATATGATAGCTTCCAGATAAATTTCTTCCTGCGGGATCGAAATATCCCAGTATCTTGAGATTATACAAGCTTTCGTAACTTCCGTATTATGCTAAACACATCATTCATGCATCTGTTGTTTTGCTCTCCAAATGTGATTCAATAAGATAGAATTTTTTAAGATATAGACATGTATTCACTAATTCTACTAATTCTGTAGATAGCAAACTTGTTGAACTGCTGAGTGCTGGGTTTATTATAGCGGATAGACACGCATATGTCAATATTTTCGATATTTCGAAACAAATAATAGATGTTATGACATTGTTCACAGGTGCATCTGTAATTTTTCTCTCTCAAGGTGATTTTAAGACAGAAATTCTC